GGCTGAAGTCGGACGCTTAACCGACTGTGCCTCCCAGGCGCCCCGGTTAATTTCTTTTTAAAGATAACTCTGTTTCTCAGGATGTTGCACAAATCAGAATTAATACAGATCTGTGAGTTACTCGTCCTTTCTGGTAGATCAGCATCTTTGCAGATGAGCCTTTGCTTCAGAAAGAAACATTAACAGAAATGTACCAGCTGGGAAGAGAGCTGTGTCAGCGTCCCACTTACTACTCACTGATAATGAACCTCAGTTAGGGGCCCTGTGCCTGGAACACACGGCTTGTTTTCAGCTGTGTTGATCCTCTGTGTCTCTGGAGACTCTGTGGAGACTCCCCGGCTCTGAGGGTCTTCGCTCCCTCCGCTCCAGCCCGGAGGCACCACCTGGGCCCTGGGCTGTTCGGAGAAGCTGGAAGCTCTGGATCACTGCCTTTATAAAGTAATAACGCTTTATTGGATTCAGTTGTAGAGTGAGTGATGCGTATACAAACTGTTGCGAAAATGGGTGCCAGCCTCAGGCCACAGGCAGCCGCTAGTAGCCTCCATAACCTTTAATGATCGCTGAAATCGCCTGGGTGATCATCACTGAGCCAGTGGGCGAAAACAACATTGAGTGTAATGATCAGAAGGAGGCCCAAGACCAGAGCCCAGATGTGCAAGCACTTGGCAGTGGAGACGAAGGCCTGGGCCCCCCACTCACTCCCCTGCCATCCTCTGGTCCCCAGACTTCAGGGAGTAGGAGAATGACACAAAACCCGGGCGGCACAGGGACCAGACGGTGTCGTCAGGCACGGAGGTCTTGCTGTGGATGTTGATCATTGTGGTTGTCACGGGGGCCTAGCTCTGAGACACCCCGTGGGCAGCCACCTCGTGCTCCTCCTTGAGCATCTCACAGGTTGGGGGGATGCCAGTGTGGGCACCAGGGAAGAAGGGCTGGGAACAGCTGTCAAGGACAGAACTTTTAGCAAGAGAAGAGACAGTGACGGTGCTCGTTGTCAATTCACGTTGTCTTTCCGGACACCCACCAAGTACCTGCTGTCTGTAGTCACCTGACTTGCTTCCTCTCCAGGTTGTAGAAGGAGTCTCTGTCTTATGGAAAATGCAGGAGAGTATTAAACAGGAAAAATGACCTCCAGACCTTTCTCTTTCACACCAGCTCTTAGCAGATCCCCTGCCCCAGCCCTGTCTGTAGTTCCTGCTCCCTCATCCTACACAGGAACGTTTGTTTGAACTTGCTAACATCTTTCTTTCTTTCTCTTTCTCTCTTTATTTCAAGAGTAGGGGAGGGGCAGAGAGAAGGGGAGAGAGAATCCCAAGCAGACTCTGCACTGTCGGTGCTGAGCCCAAGTCGGGGCTCGAACCCACGAACCCTGAGATCATAACCTGAGCCAAAGTCAGACGCTTAACCGACTGAGCCACCCAGTCGCCCCTGAACTTGATAACATTTCCCCTCTAGGCTTGTCTGTATCTTTTTACATCTTGTATTTAAAGAGCCCATATTGCAAGCATTTTAGAATGTAAAAGCAACTTCTAAAAACATGGCAGTCAGCTAGATCTCCCCACCCTCATCGAGCAACATTCAGGAATGGAGTAAGAGAAATTGAGCCTCTTAGTCTTTGGGACGGTTCCGTGTGGTGTAGGTGGAGGGATTTTGACTTCTCTGTCTTCTCCTAGGCCCTTAACATCATCAGCGTCTTGCAGGTTTCTGCCTAGAAGGTGGGCGGGCGACTTTTTAAAACTTTCTTTGTTGGTCCAACAGGTGACCTGCCCCAACATCTTCAAATAATGATCAACCTCCTGCGTTGTGAAGATCGGATCAAGCTGGTAAGAAGAGACGAGAGTGGCAAGTTTTAATTTTTAATCGTGCGATTTGGTAGGGAATTATTCACGAGCAGTGGGAAGCGGGGCATTTCTGTGTTGAAGCAAATTCTTCCCCCCATATTTCACAAAAGCCCAAGCCAGGTTTGCTCACCATCACCCACACCGTCTGGCGAAAGGATGTACTTTCGGGGTCAGTCTGTGCTGGGTTGAGATTTTCAGTCTCTGGACTTTATCTGTTCACCCATTTGAGCGACTTTGAGGGATTTCCTCCGAGCCAAGCACTGTCCCTCGTGCATGGATATGAACAAGACGTGAGGATTAAGAATCTCATCTTGATTCCTGAACTCACAGGGGGAAAGGTAGAACACAAAAGTCCTTGGTGTTGATTTGGTGACGGAAGGGGCCACCATCCGGAAAGGCAGGCCAGTGAGAGCGTCTTTGCCCGTCTAGGCCGTGCGCTTGGAGAGCGCCTGGGCGGAGCGGGTCCGGTACATGGTGGTGGTAGACAGCAGCGGGCGCCAGGACACGGAGGAGAGCATCTTGCTGGGAGTCGACTTTTCCAGTAAGGAGAGGTGAGTCTGGTGGGTGCTGCTTCCCTTCTGCGGTGGGGGGACAAGGGCTGCTGCTGGAGAAAGGCGTCCGTGGTCCTGTATCCATGGAGATGATGGTGGGGTGTGTGATGGGCAGTGGGCGGTGGGGGTGACCAGGCACGTGGAACCGTAGACCACACCATTCAGCTCTTGTGTGCCAGGCACCGTGCTAGATCCAGCCTCCGCTCTCAGCTCTGGGTCTAAGGAAAATTACACTGGGCTTAGAGGTTTACCACCGGGTACTATCAGGGGTACTGTAGGAGAGAGCACCTTAGCCAGGAAGGCTTCCTGAAGGAGGTGGCAGCTGTGGTGAACACCCAGGGACAAGCAGGAGCCAGCCCAGTGAGGCAGGGAGGGTGCCCTCCAGAGGGTCCCATGTTGAAGTGCGGGAGTGAAAGGCATCATATCGAGCACCTCACCCTGTATCACTATCCCAAGTGGAATCCCAAGTCCTTGTTGACGGGTCCTTGGTCAGAAGCTTGTAGAGAGGTTTGGAGCCTCCCAATACCCGGAGGCCAGGTTAGTTGTATCATCATAGACCCTGTTATGCGTGTGCGATGAGTGTCAACGGCTCTTCTCGCATCTAAGATAAATGAGTATGTGTGAGATCGTTGTAGAACCTGGATTTGTGAGAACTGGATTAAGATGGGTTCCCGCTATTCATTTTCAATCTTCTCACCCACCAAGGAAAGTGCGTGCGTTCTCCTGTGTATGAGGCAATGGGCCAGATGCGTGAAGAAACAGCCGTACACAGTTCCCCACCCCAGAGAGTCGAGAAGCTTAGCGAGGAAGGAGCCATAACCAGAAAGCAGGGCGGTGGGCTCAGTGGCAGAGCGATGCTTCGGGTGGGGGGCGCTGTGGAAACACAGGAGAGGGGTGGGGTCGGAGGGGGCAAGCCAGAGGCCTTCCGCGGCCTGCGATGGCGAACCGAGTCTTCAAGGGCAGGTGGGCAGCAGGGCCGGTTCAGGGGTCGGGGCGAAGCAGGGGCGCGTTTGAAGCGCGTTGAAGGCAGATTCGATGGGAGGAAGGGAGAAGCCACAGAAGCAGTGAACGGTGTGGCAGCTGTGCGGTCACATCTTGTTCCCTGAGACAGCTGCCGTTAGAGTGACCAGGACCCTGTCGCTTGTTAACAAGTACACGAATGGAGACGGAGGGCGTTTTCTTCTATGACCTTCTTCCCGGTACGTGATAGCACTAGGAGGAAGTTCTGTGTGGCACACTTTGGGAGAGAAGTGTGAGCTGGCGTCTGTGGCCTTGGGCTGGTTGGGAAGTCTGGATCTGGAAGCAGGTGTAGCCTGACGGGTCGTAGGAGCTGAGCTGGGAGGAGCCCCGCTGAAGGCCAGACGGCCCGGTACTTCTGACCCCCAGACAGGTGCTCTCGGAAGCAGGCTGCACTCTGTGTTGTGGGCCATTGTTGGCAAGGTGGTGAAGCAAAGAGACGTTTCGTGTCCAATGGTATTGTGGTTATTATTCTTTATTTGAGAGAGAGAGAGGGAGAGAGGTGGGGGGAGGAGCAGAGAGAGAGGGAGACACAGCATCCGAAGCAGGCTCCAGGCTCTGAGCTGTCAGTGCAGAGCCCGACATGGGGCTCGAACTCACAACCTGTGAGATCGTGACCTGAGCCGAAGTCGGGCACTTAACCGACTGAGCCCCCCAGGCGCCCCGGTGTTGCAGTTACGTTTACTCCTCCAGCGATTATAATGCCCGCCTTTCCGAGTTCCTTCCGGGTCTTCCCTCACCATGCGTGGTCCATTCCAGTAACGCTCTCCAGCCCTGAGCTGGAACCTGCCTCCCTGTGGAATGTGCCCCTCATCTCTGCCCAGACCTCTGGAGTTGCCAGGTCTGCCCCTCCTGCCAACCAGCTCTGTTGCTTCCGTGGGGGAACACAGTGCAGTTGCCACAACAAGTCCTCAGCGTCTCCTTGAACCATGAAACTGCCCCATGGGGTAGGTCGCCCTGATTCATGTTTTACAAGTGAGGAATCCAGCTCATGAGGTTGGCGTGGTTACCCCAAGGCCATCCTCCTGGCAGGAGCAGGGCCTCAGAATTGGGACTTTTGCTGCAGACCTGCAGTGTAGACCCCACACTTCGATAGGCCGCAGCTCTCCTGTACACCCTGTTGTTGGTGAGTTCGTTCATAGACTCAACCGCATCTGTATTTGTTAGCACTTGGCGTGTGCACAGTGCCCTGCCGGGTGCCGGAGCCACATCGGTGAGAGAGCCCCGGCCTCTGCTCTCCGACCACACAGCCTGGAGGCCGTGACCGTAGTATTGGACACGTACGCACGCCCTTCCACGTCATCCTTGGCGGCTGGAGTAGACAGGCCTGCCCGAGGCTGGTGCGGGGGGCCTTGCGGCCGGGGAGGTGGGTCGGGTGGCTGCAGAGGGTGAGCAGGCGGTCAGAGGGGGACGGGCACCGAGTGGGCCTTCCTGTGGTCGGGCCTGAGCAGCCTCCCCGCGC